GCTTGCCATTCGGGCAAGCTGAAGCTAGCATTTACTAGCCCAGACATCATTTCAACTAGCCCCAAAAACTTTTTGACTAGCAGAATTGATTTCACAGTTCTTCTGTTATTGGAATTCCTCAAAAAACATCACTTGCCCGTTGGGCAAGTTAAAAACAGAATTCACTAGCCCGGTAGCAAAATCCACTAGCCCCAGGCTATCGGACACTACTTCCTTTGCACGCTGGTCTCTTACAGTACACACTAAATTACAGAACAACTGAAGGAAAGAATTAACATCCAATAGAGCAGTGTAACTCTACACAAAAGCAGGCAGAGGCAGACCTACATCTTGAAGCCCAAACATCCAGAACCTAAGCTAATTTCTGTAGCATGAAGCATCTACTCTGTAGGAGTATGGCTAACCTCTCTGGATGGGATACTAGCTCATCACAGGACACCCTTGTTGGCATTCAACTTAATAAATTTATTTACGAGCCAAGATACAAGAGAACTCTGTGACAGATCAATTAGTGACAAAAGGGTCAAAACTGGTAAGAAGTAACAACAAAAACACCATTGTGTAGTTCCAGAAAATATCCAGACCCCCACCACGGAGGGAATTGGAAATTCCAGGGGGGTGGGGGGGTCAGAGGCCCAGGAAATTCCAGAAGGGAGGGGGGTTGGACCATAAAATCACTTTCCTGGGGGTCAATATCATTTCGTTTTCGACCTGAGTTCGAACATTGCTTGTTACCGACCTGGTAGATCATTTTTAGGACATAAATAACTTGAAATTATTGTTCCTTTTGATCTTAGCCAGGTTTCCTTTCTTCCAAAAGCGTTTTGGATGTAATTTCAAAGGAATTAGACAGACTACAACTTGTTTTATCGCATGCTCGTGTATTCGGCCGCCATTACTCGTTACCAGTCTCCCTCAAAACATCAACGGTAACGCGTGCAACACATCACGTTGCGTCTTAACGTTGCGTCAGTCGGTCGATCAGTAGAGTGGGAATTTTGCCTCACGAAGCACAAGCTATACATTGTAACCATTTTAAAATGTAGAGTTTTTATTCTCCTTTTCATTTTCTTGAAGGTGTGGCATGTTCATGATCGAATCCTCGCTGAAATGGTGTCGATTTCACTAAACATTTATACGGCCATCGCGCATCATGTCGCATCAGTCGATCAAAAAAACAGTAAATAATTGATCTTGGTTTCCCTTCAAGATGCAGGGGGTATTCATTGTTATCATTTCAGAGTTCAGAGTTTTTATTCTTCTCTTTGTTTTGCATTAATTTTGTGGTCGTAAGTTTGACTTGTTCTGCATTCCCGCACGAAATGGCGTTAATTCACGAATCTATCAACATTACGCCCATGAACACGAATGACAAATCGTAAGCTTATCGTAAATTAATAGTCTTTCTTCGTGAAAATGATTTTTTCCAGGGGGGTTGGGGGGTCTTTGTCACACTTGTGGAATTTCCGAGGGGGTGGGGGGGTCATCAGTTCCCTGCAAAAATGGAAAATCCAGGGAGGTGGGGGGGTCCTAACTAAAATTCCCTCCGTGGTGGGGGTCTGGATATTTTCTGGAACTACACATTCTTGAAAAACCTGTTTTTCCAGTTAGGCTATTCCAGAAGGTTCTAGAAACATCTGTGCAGTGGAACCTCGATTTAACAATGGGCCAAGCAACTAGCAAAATGAGTTTGCTGTATCAACGAGGTTTGTTATATCAAGGCTCTTATTCATATCTTTTTACAGTGTACGACTGGGCTAAAGAAAATTGTTTGTTATACTGAAGACTTCATTATACAGAGGCTCATTATATCAAGGTTCCACTGTAATACTGATTGTCTCTTTTGAATAAACAAACATTCACAGTAAAATGAAAAATTTGTCAGTGTTGCTTATTTCCTCAAGCAGCGTTGTTGCTCAAATTTCAAAGTGCTGGGTATACAAGTTTATATGTACAATTAGTAGGCGGGAAAATGAACAGCAACAAATTTCTGTGAAAAGGTTTGAACCCAGTAGGGTTGAAAAGTAGGTTCAGTTTGATCATAGGGGTGAACGTAGTCTTGAATAGGACTGTTGTTGTTGACAGTGACCGACGTTTCTACAACCTTAGTGGTAGTCATCTCCAGAGTCAAAGTCAGTTGATGGTATTATATTCTGGTTATTGACCTGATTGGTCAATAACGTGGCGATGCTATCAGTTGTCTGTCAGTTTAGCCATGATGTTATTGGCTATGAAAACTCATCAGTCTATTCCAGGGCTCAAAAAAGTCCCATCCGGTAGTCCTAGACAAGTGGATTTTCTTGGCGGCCAAGTACAGTAACTTTTAAGGCTCACTAGCCCAATAAGGGTCAAGACAACTCATCCTCTAATAAAATCCTTAACTAAGACAAGCAAGAGGTCGCCCTAAGCAAGAAAAATATGAGAGCTGATTGCCCTACGGACAAGCTGGACTTCAAGATTTTTTTCAAGCACTGTATAGGATCTATATTCCATTTGTTTCCTATGAAAGAGGATGGGGGTCATGCTCATAATATAGCCAAAGGAAATCCACCACCTCAGGTTGTTATAGACAGCCCTGCTCAAGAGTGTGTCTTTCTCAACAACCTTCACACAGCATGCCTCAGGTACCCATTTATACACCTGGGTGAAGAGACAAAGTGGAGTAACATTTCTTGTCTAAGGAAACAACATGATGGCAAGGCTTAAAACCGGACATACATTGTACAGCGTTGAAAGAAAATTGGCTTCTTTACCTTCAGAACCTGCCCTAGACTTTTCTTTGCTTTTTCCTTCCTTTTTCTTGCTTTTCCAAGACGGAAATGAGCTTACTGACTTGCTCTTTGCTTTCAGTTTTAAAGAAATGTTTCACCTGACTGGCTGTGAGGTGGATCCTGGAGCTGCTCCCTCATGCTCCAATTCAAGATCTACCAAAACAACATAGAAAACTAAAAGGTTAGTCTCACCTTGGTATGATGTATAGCTAGATTTAAGATACATCATAAACGATAACAAGATATGCTGAGCAAAGAATTAACAAAGTAAATGGAGCCCGATCATTTTAAAAGACCAATGCAAAAGTACAATATTAGTACAAATTAAACATAGGTAAACCTATAATATAATTATAAGAAAACAAAAACAGCCGCCACAAGTAAACTGGTCGGCGTCAAGAAGTGTGAAATTCACATGCACAAGGAGTGGCTTATAAAGGGTACCATGATCCCAATGGAAACTGACCTAAACATTGTAATCAACAACTAAAAGAAATACATTTCATACAGTTAGAAATTTGAGAAAATTCGTGGACCAAAAATGACATTTACAAAGGAAAATGGTACATTTTTCACGGTCATTATATGAGAGCAATGGCAGAAATTCTCCTAGTACTTGAACCCAAGTATAAATTGAAGTAACCCTTAAAGACATGTAATATTAGTGAGATTAGTTGAAATCAGGAGAATAAGTCATCGACATGTTGCCACAAACCAGACTAATGAATTACGAAAAAGCTGAAAATCAACACCGCGTAGAGTTGCAAACGTTTCATTTTCGTGAAATGAATATGAGCAAAGACTTAATAACATAAAGAAAACATTTTTCTTTAACTGAATAGCGACAAATTAAGGATAAATTTAAGCAATAAGCCATTGGGAAAGCATGCTTACCAGGAGCGTCCTCCATCTTGAAGTTTCCTGTTCTTTAGGTTATGACCGCTGTACAGCTTGTCTCTTGATCGAGCCTTCGAAACTGTTCCCCAGGCCTACTCCAGGATGAAAATAATTATTTCCCCTTTTCCAAAATCTTGGATTTTGACACCTATAACCCCATTCAAGTATACATTGTACTCACTTATCTGTCTTCTCATTGGCTAAGAGCCTATAGCTAATTTTGGAAATCAGCGCAACCTAGTCTACAGAACTTACAGATTAGTTAGTTATCTGCTAGCGGATACCTGAACTAATCTGTACATTGCGCGTGCAATGCGTGATTTCCAATAACAATATCAATTCAGGTTCCTTAGCTTGCGACGACGGTGTTTGTCTTTTTAGAAATACGCATCACTTTGCATTTATCAGTGTTAAATCTCAATTGCCCCAAAATTCCACACGAGTAAGATCTTTCTGCCGAGTTCTTCCACATCTTGTTTAGTGTCCCTCAAAACCCTAGACACCTTCATATCATCTGTAAAGAGTCTTGTGCAAGACGTAATTCCTTGAGATATCCAAAATCTGGGTTTTTTTTTTTCTTCAAAAGCATTTTCTTAGTTAGCGACAGCAGAATTCCGGATTTTTTTTTAGCTAAATTAGGGATTCCAAAGCCCAGGATTTCGGATTCCAAACTCAAAAATTTCCCTGATTCCGGATGATTATAAACTGCGAACAGTCTCTCTTTTTCTTCGGATTTAGTGAAGGGAGTGCACGCGCGCGAAAGACGGAAGGAAAGAGGCGAGAAACATGCTCTCCTGTCTCGCGCCTTTATTTATGCTCATGTTCATTTGCTTGTCTCGCGCGTTTTACTCGACGGACTATTAAGAAAAAAGAGAGGGTGCTCGTATTCTAGGATGATTACCATACATGGGGTGCCGAATTCATAAAGTGGTGACTCATGAAGAGAAGAAAGGAAAGGGATCGGCACGAAGAAGGGAACGGAGACTCACACTCTCCTTAGCTTGCGTAGCTGCCGATCCAGGCGCGAGTGCTGTAGTTTTTTGGCGGCGAAGCCGCGTGAAGATTGGGAGCAAGTCAAGGAGGGATTTTCACCTTTCACTTGCTTCGAATGGCAGGTCCGCCGCCAAGAAAGTACCTCAGGCACAATAATCCCGCCAGCTACGCAGGCTACACTCCCCTTCACGCCACTCCATGACTTTGAAACGTCTGGGACAGCTAATGAGCTAATGAGATGCAACTGTGAGCATCATCGCACACTAGGGCGATCAAGTGTGACTCATTTTCATCAGCGACCACAGCTTGGTATAAAACACTCAAGGACACTGTACACCCATGGAAGAAACAGAGCTTTACTTTGCTTTTGGGTCAAATCTGAGCGCAAGAAAAATGCGGGAACGCGGCACTAGGTTCATCTCTCGCGAAAGCGCAGTGCTTCAAGGATTTCGCGTCGTATTCAGCATATGGAAAGACGATGGCTTTGGTTATGCTAATATTATCCCAGATAAGGATTCAACCGTTTATGGTGCCTTGTACATCTGTTTAAAAGGAAGTTTAGCCAAGTTAGATGAACACGAAGTAGGGAGGCTTCGGAGAGTGAACGTACAGGTGGAACGAAAAAGCGGCGAAATCGTGGATGCGACAGCGTATCAAGCTTATGAAGAGTATGTTAAAGAGGAGCTAAAACCGAGCCAAATTTATCTCAATGAAATACTTGAAGGAGAGGATCTTATTCCTAAAGAATATGCTGACTACTTTAGAAACTTCTTGTGTGACAAAACTGAGAAGTAAAGACCGACGAAATCTTTTTAATTCAGTCAACAATTATAGAAAAGTCAAGAGAACATCAAGCTTTGAAGTTTATCCGTGTAATGAATTGACCTATTATTGTGTTTAAATTCCAAGATTTTATTCCGGTTTATCAGTGTTTTGAGAGCTGGGCTGCTGGGGGTTAGTTGGTCAGTTAGGGACGGACCATTAGAAAAGTAATGGGGGGTGTTGTGGGGGTTTTTTGCCTGGCAAGAATTTTTTTCTGGCTGATTGCCTGTGCAAGAGTGCAACCCTCTGTAGGAATTTTTGGGCATTAAATTAATTGAAAATAACGCTACTTTGTTTTATTACAGAGGTTGTATTTTAAACGTGACTTTTACCAGGATGCCTATATATCGAGCCACGACTCGAGCCAGGACTCCAGTTAGAACGTTTCTAATTTTTCTGTAAGCAAAAAGAAAATAACTAAAAATAATAAATAAACAAATAAAACCTACCCTAACCCTAACACTAACCTTACCTCCATGATTGCCACGAAAACGCTCCTTTTAATGGTCATGTGACTTGCAGGAGGTGAAAATGGCGGGAAAGCGAAAAACTGTCGAGTCCTGGGTCGAGTCCTGGCTTTGATGTTAGTTTACCCGTGCAAAAACGTGTGCTGTAAGTGCAATTTTTTCTGTTTGCTTATTAGATCTATTGATTTTGTTGCCGTTCTGCCATAAGGAGTGATCCTAAATACCGGTACAGAAAAAATTCTTTCCTTCGGATTCAAAAATACCAAGCAACAGTCTTTTAAACTTGTCACGTGTTCAAATTTCAGAATCGCAATATTAAATTGGATTGGATCTTTAGATCTGAAGTAAAACCTTGGGTCCGGCGTAATGACTTTGGATCCCCAGCAAGAACTTTGGATCTCAGGAATAAAAACGTTAGATCCAATTGAAAAAAAACTGTGGAGTCGGGGAAAATAGCTATGCCGGATAATGAAATCCATGTTAGTTGGATAAAAACTTTGGATCCAAAATATAAAGTTTACTTTGCTTAAAATGTTATTTCAGAATAATTCAAACCCATGCTGAAGTAACTCCTGATTAGCTCGACTCTCTCCGCTATTTAATGATGCAAATCACCACCGATAGAAGGCGGTAGGATGGCGCTTGATAAATGAATTAACGCAAATAGCACAGAGATTTCTAGCAGAGCGAAGTACGTATGCGCCATTTTTGTAGATTACTTGCTTGATTTTCGACGATTAAAAGGTTATCGCGCGATAAATTTCTCAGTCAAAGAAAACTTTATCGCGAGCTCGAACTTTCTAAAACAAAGTAAACTATAGTCGCGCGATAACTTAGCGAAAAAAAAAACATTGTAATGTCCTCTATGGGCCACCGTAGATTCCTCATTGCACAGCCGTAGTAGAATGCGCACTGAATCCAGGTAAAACGTGGCTCATCAAAGAACTTTTGTTGATTGATAGTGATGAACGACTGTTAGATGTCAGATGGTCGATCAGACGCTGACCGTAGATAAGCTAACACATGAGTGACAAAGCAACTCCCTCAAACTGACTCGTCTAAAACTCACAATTACAAGGTAAAACAGAAAATGTTAAAAAAGCAGTCACAATAATAACTCCATATGAAAGATGAAGATGGTGAAATCTTGACATATCAATGACCCATGAGTCTCAACACAAGCTAAAGTCTCGATATGTCCACGGCTAAGAGTCTAGGTCTAAGTTGACCATAAATAAATTCCAGACGTTCTTTTCTCACAGCTCCCTACAACTTTTAGTGCAACCGCGCGTTTCTCAAAACTCTTGAAAACGTTATTTTTAGGGCCCGAGAAGCATTTTTCAAGTCGACTTAGTAGCAAACGGGACTCGCGTTCTGTCGAGGTTGGGACTGGATTTTAAGGTTAATTAGCGTAATGTGTCGGGCAAGAAAGCGGCTAACACTTCAGGCTAAATTTGGGTTAGAATTTTGCTTTGACACTTTCTTGTTACATGCAATACCTGAATGATAAATTCTCTCTGACATCAAATGTCAGAGTAGCTATGTCATAGCTAGGGATTTAGACGTTTATTCCGTCAAAATAGCTCAAAATAAAATTGCCGCCTACTTTTTTCACATAAATGTACACTAAATGTTATATCTAAGAGAAAAATATAAAGGGAATTTTAGCAGAAAAATAGTTTAAAGGACGTTTCTGTATGAGGCAGAAGAATTCCTGTCAAGTTTAAAATAATCGCTTGGTCATCAGAATAAACTTCGAGTTAAATGAGTCACCAGTGCGAACAATCCAATAAAAGCGCAGTTTCTGATTATAAGCCCTTACTAATAGTCTCTAGCCAACCCTACCCTACCTTATACTACTCCCAACCCTACTAAGCACGCACCATATCTAGTTCAATCATACACTCCATAATAGGGGTAACGCCTTTGAAGGGTTTTTTTTATCAATTATTTTTTATCCCAGGCAAGATCAGGCAGAAGGGCATAAATCTCAGCTCTCAAAAGTTTAGAACCCTTTTTATAATATCGACATTGACATCGAGGACGAAATCGTAATGTATATACTTTGGCACATCCATTTACCAAGACGCAAATCTTTTTAAACGCCTCCCTATTATTAGACTAATATATAGATTTAGCCAGGGCTAAAAGCGAAGCTCTCGATAATATTTACAGTTTGTTCAAACAAAATATAAAATCGTGTAATGCTAAGCGGCGAAGGCATGCAACGCCGGAGAACGGTGAAAAACAACAATAGGTCTAGCACGTGCAGCACACTTTTTTTGCACATTTCTTTGCCGTTGTTTTGCACGACTACAAGTGAAACTTCCAGAAACTTCTTAGGCCCCGTGTTGAGGCCTCAAATGTAATAAATGACCCTAAATGTAACAAAGGTCCTAAGTGTAATAACTCTTGGCCCTAAATGTAATAAAGGTCCTAAGTGTAATACCTTTTGGCCCTAAATGTAACAAGGGTCCTAAATGTAATAACTTTTGACCCTAAATGTAATAAAGGTCCTAAGTGTAATTTTTTCAGCTCTTTATATGCTTAGGGTCATAAGAAGATTTCACAGCGTTTGCTTTTAGCCTTATTACAGGTTAACTGAGTACCAGAATGTGTCTAGGGAATATCAAACATTAAATAACCCAGGCAGAACCCCTATATAGCCATTTGACTAACAACTTATTATAATTATTGCTATCATTATCACTGTTATTTTTATTGTCATTATTAACAGAAAAGAATGTTTAATCGAAGTGGATTGTCAATAGTCCTTTGACCGAATGCTGATTAATTGTAAATAGGTTTTAACAGTTAGCATTGTTATCAATAATACCTCTTTAACGAAAACTTGAAAACAGAGGTCCATGATATGAAGCAAATTTTTTAAGAACTCTTTAATGTCAAAAAGGACTGACGTATCTCAAAACTTATGTAACAAAACAAAAGAGCCTCGTTTATTATAGCAAATTTTCTCCAGAAACTGCAACTTCATCCATTGGATTCAAGTACAAAATCTGTTTCATAGGCAAAGGCCAAAAATGTCAAAATTGCAGCCTGTATTGTTACCATGAATTCTAATCTGGGTCAATAACACAACATCAACTAAACTGTTTTTACTTTGTCTGTTAACAAATAGGTGCAAGTAAGTGTACTTTAATTGCTCCCTCGTCCTTCTTTCCACCATACATTGGTGACATAAAACCAAGTTCCAACCTCAGCAAACAACAGCTCAACCCACGCATTTATCAATCTGAGGCTGGCTATTATCTCTCTAAGAGCCAGCACAAATCCACTGTATGGAACAAATTCTTTGTTTAACTTGCGCAAGCTGAAACAGCCATTTCGCGCAGTGTCGCAATGGTTGTAGCTTATTCGTGGTAGCCGACAAATATAACGGATTGGGAGTTCTTTAAAGGGTCACCAAGGTGGCAAAGGGAATTATAGGTGACAATACTTATGTCAGTTCCAGTTAACGCGAAGTCTATTATTTTGTCGAGTACTTCATTTGGAACTTAACTGGTTGGACCACCATTATCATCACAACCACCATTATATAACTTACGGTGTTCACAGCATTCCGTACGGACCGACCGACATACTCTTTTGGAATATGATAAAAAAAACATTATTGTTTTGGCGCAACATTAAAAAACCCCATAGGCAAAAGTGGTTAATTTACTACGATTGTTTCTAATGAACATTCATTCTTCCTTCAATTTCTAAATTACTGCTGCCTTTTGAAAATTTTTGCGTAGATTCCATTTGTTTATAACTCGCGTTTCACGATGTAGGGATGTGTCGTAGGAAACATGATCGAGACGTAGTTAATTTATAAGTGTTTCTCCTACTTCTTGAGCACTCTAGCCGCTTTCTAAGTTAATGAATATCCATGGATACTACAATAGGGCGAAGAAAGTGAATCGCCAGCTGGCTATATCGCATTAGACCGTCGCATGTTTCAGTCAGGGACTTTATCACGTTTGGGGCTGTTATACTACATACATGTATCTGCTAAGACTTCCATTATATTTAGGGCTAAAATCTACTACAGATATAATTAGACCCTTTATTACATTTAGGGCCAAAAGTTATTACATTTAAGACCTTTATTACATTTAGGGCCAAAAGTTATTACACTTAGGACCTTTATTACATTTAGGGTCATTTATTACATTTGAGGCCTCAACACCCGTCCACACGAAGACGATTGTAAACGCAAACGCTAGTAAACGCAAGCTTTTTTATGCGTTTAGGCCTTCCGTCCACACGAAGACGATGAAAACGCTCACCGTAAACGCATAAATTCGAAAACGCTCTCCAAAGTAGATAAATTTGAAAACGCCGTTTATGCGTCTTCGTGTGGACGGCCGTAAACGTATATTTTCGTAAACATATATTATATTTTCGTAAACACTGTGAAAACGCTGCCGTCAGATGTCAGCGCCAGTCTCTTTTATCGAGTGCGTTTCCAAGATGGCGTACACACGAGTGTTGAGCTGTGTCATGCTTGCGCTTATTTCAAGCATAATTGCGAGCATTCAATTGAATCATGCAATAATCGATATACAGGAAAACTACAAAAGAAGAAGACTAAACCTCTCAAGATTGTTATCCACAACTACAAGCACTTTTACTCGAGTAAAACGACTTAGATGCAGACGTGAGAGCAAAGAGAGAAGATTCTGGACCAGACCAGGTCGTACAAGAGCCTGGTGGAACAACTTTGCCCATCAAGTGGTGATACCAGAAGAGTGGAAAGAGAACTTTCGAATGAGCAGAGACTCGCTATATAATCTAGCTGAAGAACTGAGACTATACATTCAAGGAAAAGCAACCAACATGAGGTCGCCGGTTGGTGTTGTTAAACAAGTCGCTTGTGGTGACTTGACAACATGGACGGTAACACTTGATAACAAGGCGCTGAAGCAAAGATTGCAGGCTCAAATCGATAGCGCATGCGCGTTCGGTGTATGACATCTTTTTATGCGTTTACGAGCGTTTTCGTGTGGATGGGTTAAAACGCTACGTAAACGATGATCGTTTTCGTGTGGACAGAGATAAAAATATGCGTTTACTAGCGTTTGCGTTTACAATCGTCTTCGTGTGGACGGGGTCTTAGTTACACGTTTTACGGAGGAAATGTCGTACCTTTTCTTGTTCACTTTTTTCACTCCCGCTCATTTTCACCTTGCATTGGTGGCCGCTAGAATTTCTCATTTTGTCACCGCCGTTACAAAAAAATGTCTCCTTTGTTTTTTATCTCTCGCTCTAGATCTCTGTCGCCCTTTTGCTCGTTGAGCTTCGCTGGCCTGCCGCCTACTTTCTCTTTTTCTCTGTGTTTCTCTTCCTCTACATTCCAAATTTGTGAACATGACAATTAATCTAAGCTTAATACTTTAGAAAACACGGATACAGAGACAATTTCCGCTTTCCGTTTTCGTCTTCATTGACTCTTTAGTTGTCTCTGCGTTACACAAGACGCGGGTGGCTATGCGATTTCCCGTCAAAATAACCTCGAGTTGCATTCGGGTTGCCATACGTGTTGACTGAGTTACAGTAATAGCCCGCATATAAGAACCTGAATTTTTCAATTTAGCCTGAATAGGTTCTTATATAAATGGTACTTAAAGCAAATTTAGGCTACCGAGGTTCTTAAAATAGGTTCTTCTATTTTCATATGAATTTCATCTGAATATACTATATATATTATAAATATCATCTGATAATACAGTATAAATCATTTATTTGTACCATAGAGCAATGCCTATATAGGCAGTTCAGTGCAGGTACAGCATATGTCCTAGATGATGATCTTAATTCAGCAGTTTCTACCTATACACTTTTACAGCAACCCCACTAATAAGAACCTAACTTAAAATTTTAGCCTAAATAGGTTCTTATGTGGAGGGGGCTTAAAATGAAAATTTTAGCCTAACAGGTTCTTAAAATCCAGGTTCTTATACCCGGGCTATTACTGTATTTTACATTGGTATACCTGTGGTAAGGACGGACGGTCGGGCGGTCGATTACCAAATTTTCTCGGATGGGTAGTTTACCACAGTTTCTTACCCATGGTGCTCCGCTTTGACTAGTCCCCGTTTTTCCTCAGGGATACTAGGGACTTTAAGATCCAACGGCGCGACGGCGACAAGAACGTCGCTTAAAAAGTGAATTTGAGTTTTTTCAGTCTTTATAGCGATTATTCCTACCCACTTACTTTGTCAATTGTAGGCGAACCCTCCTGAAGCTGAATTTCAAGGGACCATACAGTAATAGCCCGGGTATAAGAACCTGGATTTTAAGAACCTGTTAGGCTAAAATTTTCATTTTAAGCCCCCTCCACATAAGAACCTATTTAGGCTAAAATTTTAAGTTAGGTTCTTATTAGTGGGGTTGCTGTAAAAGTGTATAGGTAGAAACTGCTGAATTAAGATCATCATCTAGGACATATGCTGTACCTGCACTGAACTGCCTATATAGGCATTGCTCTATGGTACAAATAAATGATTTATACTGTATTATCAGATGATATTTATAATATATATAGTATATTCAGATGAAATTCATATGAAAATAGAAGAACCTATTTTAAGAACCTCGGTAGCCTAAATTTGCTTTAAGTACCATTTATATAAGAACCTATTCAGGCTAAATTGAAAAATTCAGGTTCTTATATGCGGGCTATTACTGTATTCAAGCTCAGAAAGAGAAATAAAATTTCGTCGTTGCTTGTTTACGTCCTCCATAAAACGCGAAATTAGGCATTTTCACGTCGTTGTCGTTGTCGTGCAAAAACGGGAAAGAAATGAACAAAAAAGTGTGTTGCACGTGTCTTTTTGACGTTCTAGTTGTCGTCCGCGTCGTTGGATCTTAAACTCCCTACTAGAGCGAGCGAAACGCGACCGCGCGTGAAACTCACTCCACGCTCTCTACGGCTGCGTCTCGCCTTTCCTCGCGTGAGGAGATTTTCACGTGCGCTCGCGTTTCATTCGCTCTAGTCTCTATGAGGGAAAATGGGGACTTCTCGTAGTCTACCCTATTATTGACGCTGGACATAAAAGAGGTCCCTCTCAAAACTTAAAATAAATTAACACACACCCCAGGGCTTTAATGGATCTTTTACGGTGTAGTTCAGTTTAAGGGTAGGAACGTCATCCCCTTTTTCATTGTCAAACTTCCTTTGTACCCCTTAGAAATTAATTAACTAGGAACCTCAAAAGGGCATAAAGACGGGTAACGTACTGATTTTCAAGGAATATATGTCAAATATTTCACGTGACAAAAGATATTCTAGAACTGAGGGAGGTTGTCCATTTTAATCATGCAAAGATTGTGTTGAGGGCTTGTGAAGCTCGCTAGGCTTTGAAACGAGAGGACCAAGACTCTGTTCTTTCTCTTTAAGATAGCAGTTTAATCTTCAACAGCGACTTACAACAACTCTACTGATTCTACTAGCTTACATAGCGAATTAAATATCCAAATTGTAGACTTATTTTGGGTTGGCTGACCGGAAGAGTTTCTATTGAATATCTTATCGCCTATATTGCAACAGGTTTGCTATAGTTAGATAAGCCTACACAGCCGCAACCGACAAGTATCAAAGAACCAGTTAAATGCTAACAGTGAAACTGCCCGGAAGGAAAAAACAACTCAAGGTCAGCTGTACTCCCCAAACAAGCCTACTTCAAAGAAACAAAACTAAGCTTAACAAACACTTCAAATCGACAATACTAGACCAAAACTCAGGACCTAACCATGTGGGGAAATACACTGAATCTCTGAGTCTCCAAGTCTATAGAAGTCTATAAACTGTTTATCGTGAAGCTAGCAAAATCTTAAAAATAGCAAAACTGACAAACAAAACTAAAGGTAACTACCTCATAACAATTGCAACTGGTTTGTGTGCTTTCATATTGCTGGAGGCTGAATTATTTATAACAGGTAGACAAAGATACAGCAAAACCTCTATTAACCGGACACCAGCGCATTTCCAGAGCTTCTGACGTTTAATAGGTGAAGTCGCAGTGACGGAACAGGGTTTTGCTTTACCTGATATACGACCCGTCTCTCAAAACTGCGGGAAACGTTTCATGCCCAAACATATATAATTTTTCAAGCTTGTTTTCTAGCAATTGCGATTTGCTTTTTAGACAAACTATCCCAATTTACTTCTCCATTCTATAGCCGGCGCTTTGCTAAAAGTAGTCAAAAAATGCTAGAAATCCGATTTCTTTTAATGAACTTAGTTCACGTAAAATAGTCTTTCGGGAGTTTCGAGAAATGCAGACCCGTGATATAAACGTAGATCCGTGATTTAAACGCCGGAAGCAGCGGCAGAAAAACCCCTGGTATCCATTGCTTGCTTTAACAGTAACGTTGTACCTCATGTATGAGTATTTTATGTAAACCACCACTGCTTGGCACTAAGAAGGTTAGGAGGGTAATGTAGTTCCGCAAACATTAACAACTCTTACTGAGAGCATGCGCTTATAGTCAAAATCGTAAAACAAACGAATTGCCAGTATGTTCACCAATATTACATAATCACTTGTACCCTACAAGTAAAACATAATTAGCCGAGACGATTGCTATTAAATCAGTCCAATTGCTACACCTGCTATACTTGCTACACTTTGCTACTTGCTACGCTTGCTCATCTTGCTACACCTGCTACGCTTACTACACTTGCTGCAATTGCTACGCTTGCTTCGTTTGCCGGTACACTTGCTACGCGTGCTATACGTTTGCAAAGTTTGCTTGCTACACTTCCTACCGGCGCTTGCTACACTTGTTACTCTTGCTACGCTTTCTACTCTTGCTACACTCGTCACACTTGTTACGTTTGCTACGCTTGAGAGTGCTGCGATACACTTGCTGCGCTTGCTACAGTACGTTTGGTATACTTGCTTCTCTTGCTACGTTTGCTTGCTACACTTCTTGCCCCTGCTCTGTTGGGTACGCTTGCTACATTCAACAGGTGGTGTCAATAGACAACCCTATCAGAAACTTTCTACATTGTCTCATGAGGAATCCTATTTATTTTTTATTTTATATAAGTTGACGATTTAGTTCAATTTTCCGTTTTGTTTAAAAAACTATAACCAAGATTTCGATCAGCCAACCAGGACGTCGCTTCACTGAGGTATACGACATTTTTACTGGCTAGTGTTTTATGACCTTACGTAAGAAGGTATACGTTCCTAGTCAGCAGTACAATTAAGTTCCACATCACTGCTGGTGGATTCCGTCTTAATTTCTATAGGTACAATTTAGGGGAGGTGTAAAACGTATCCTCTATACAAATGTATAATTAAAGGTCACGTAGACTTAAATCAAAACCAATCTAGACACTAATAGACTTAAACCAATCTACCAAAAGAATTAAAAACTACAACTGTGTTCATAATATAACAGTAAAGAGCTATATTAAATTGCTAGTCTAAAGTGCCTCTGTCCCATGTGGTATCGATGAAAATAGCCGAAATTGACTACTGATTCCCGATATTTTTCAGGCGACTATAAAACAAGTTTCAAGTGCACATGACTGGTCGCAAAATAAGCTACGAAACCTACACTGTAAATTTCAAACTACGCAAAATATTAACAGCATACAATTTTCTCTTCCGGATAAAGTGTTCCTGTTCTTGCGAGGAACGCTTCACCTTGTAATTGTGACAAAATTAGAAACTGACTTCACCCTCAGATAGTTAGGAACTGCTTCACTGCATTCTTCATCATACCTATACAACAACAACGACAACAGGAAAAGCAAAGTTAGCAAGCTAACAAAAGAAAAGGATAGTGACTTCATCTGGCGAGGCATAAAATTTTGACAACTGACTTTTAAGAGTGTGCTCGATTGATCGTACCCCGGAATAAGAATACGCAAAAGTTTTGATGCAAACCTCTTCTATGCCGTAATTTTTGAACCATCTAAAGTTTATATAGATCAAAATACTTTATTTCAAGCAGTTTTGTAGAATGAAAGACAGAACAAGTGATTTCTGGCGAGGTTACTCCATTAATTTATTTTTAATTAAGACGCGGAATACGGTGAATCGAACACGCCCTAAATTTATAAGAGCAAAGGGTCACATTAAAACTTGTAACTTCAACCAATGATTAGACTTATTGTAGATTCAAAGAAACTTGCATACCATAAATTTTTAAATAAGCCTTCCTCTCTAATAAGCTCCCCTTTTAGGAGGAAAATCATTTAACCTCCTCCTCTCTTTCAAGTCTCTTCTCCCTATTCTTATACAATAGACATATGATAGATGTGTTAATTTATCACGACTCTAACACTTCATGTGAACTGATTATCGGGTATGGTTTATTCATGAGCTGCAAGTTTCGATTTGATTTGGATCCTCGGCTGATCATAACCTCCAACTTCATGTCCCTGAGATTTTTCACTTTGTTCTAGTTCTTTATGGGGAAATGATATTACAATCTTCGCTTCATTAAATAACCCCCTCCTCCCTCTCAAACGTTCTCGAAATGAGTAAACCCCCCGGAAAGCCTAATAAAGGATTTACCATATCTAGAGACTTTCCTAAGCGACCACCTTCCGTAAAATAAGCGACCGGAAATGTGATCTTCGCATTTTGAGTCGTCGCTTACGTCAGGTTCGACTGTAAGTTACAGTGGAACGAACTCAGACAGGGCACACTTCGAAATGTGAAAAAATCATGCGACTTGAAATTAATTTTCTAGTGTTTAACGGCCAAAAGAACTACCCATGTCAGACTCCATTGTTGTTGTGAACCTGACCTGTGATTGGCAGATTGACGCTACGTGGCACCGGTTGAGTTCGTTGCTCAATAAAAGGACATAAACAACTATAATTCCTTGTTGAAATGACGTTTCCTAAAGCACGTATTATTATCCAAGGTTTAAATATATCCTAAAATACCTTGCTATTTATTGGATGCCCTCAAAATCGAGCGTTACGTCGTCACCAATGAGAACAAACGGAGCCCAGTATTTCACTGCGTTAAAGCGGTCACATTCTCTCATGGATTTCATGGCTTTATTCAGAGACTCACTGGCACTTCGTCCATGGACTAGTTGTTGGTAGAAAACTTTCATGAACTCCATAGTAGCTTTGTCGTCGATCGCCCACAAGGACACCAGAACAGAGCGAGCACCAGCACCTAAAAATGCCCGTGCAATACCGACCACACCCTCAGATTTTACTTCTCCCTGGGCACTATGACAACAACTGAGTACAACAAGTCTTGCCCTAATCTGCGCCTTTAAAACATCTTTCATAGTTAAGAGATAGTCCTCCCTGGCTGGATTCACGGATGAACGTGTTGTGTTTGGGGCCAAGGCAATTTCTCCCGTTTCCATTTTACCGTGAGCAGCAATGTGCACCAGAGCAACCGAGGAGATACGTGTTAACACTTCATCTTTTGTTGCATGCTTTCCAACGAGAGGTTCAGTTTGAAGTATTTCCCCAATCATCTTCACTTCCTTTTCCGCCCACGCTAACTGCTCTAGCCTCATTCCTTCATATACTACCTCCTGTACCCACGGATCGCCGACGAGAAGAGCGCCAGTGTTGCTGTGCCAATCTGCTGGACAATTTTGGATTAATCGCAGAGTAGAAAGTGAGGGAAGTAGGCGAATTCTAAAAGTTTCGCAGAGGAACTTTGATTCCAAGTCCATGAAAGCAGCATAAGGGGCCAAACACAGAGGTCCTTGTGGAACAACCACAACCTCATCGCCTTGGAGTAAGTCTCTTATAGGGTCCATGACAACTTTGTAAAATGTTTGTAATGACTTTGGCTCAAAAGATGAGGAATGAGACCTTGGCTGACTGGATCTTTTTTCTGCTAACTTTTTATCGCTTGGGCTTCTTAATGAGCGATCTTCACAGTTAACATCAGCTCTCACACCTATTTGTTCATGTGCAGTTTCCAATAGAGACTGAAAATAGGTTTTGACGAAGATATCGATCTGAGTTTTTCTAGTTTTGATTTCGTTTCCTTTCTCGTTCACCCAGACAACTATTTCTTCCTCGTTGATACCTATAAAAACTGTATCTGATGGTAGGTAATTAAGAATGTCAGGTGTTGTTGCAGAGAATGTTCCTATTTCGCGAGACAACCCTTTAAACCCATACTTGAACTCCAAAAGATCACTTAAAGCTTGGGCACGTCCATGATCAGCAGTCAAAAGTGCCTCGACGACTTTACCTTGCTTAAACTGTAGCCCCCAGAGACTCAAATTAACATGATCATACGTACTCCCAAGACTAATCTTCCATTCGTCATTAGATATGAGATTTCCCCTGATATAGTCGAAGGCAATGACACTGTTTTTATAACAGTAAATGGCTGTCTGGAAATCTCCAAGACCGTAATAGGCGTTGCCAAGATTACAGTACGCATTTCCTTCTCCTGCCCTGTTTCCCACTTCTTTGGAAATTTTGAGGTGCCGTTCATGGTACTCTATACCTTTCTGGAAATCTCCAAGCATGTCATAGGCGACGCCAAGATTACCGTACGCTTTTCCTTCTCCTACCCTGTTTCCCACTTCTTTGGAAATTTGGAGGTGTCGTTCATTGTACTCTATGGCTTTCTGGAAATCTCCAAGACTGTTATAGGCGATGCCAAGATTACCGTACGCTGCTCCTTCTCCTACCCTGTCTCCCACTTCTTTGGAAATTTTGAGGTCTCGTTCATGGTACTCTATGGCTTTCCTGAAATCTCCAAGTCTATAATAGGCGCTGCCAAGATTACCGTACGCTCTTCCTTCTCCTGCCCTGTCTCCCACTTCTTTTGAAATTTTGAGCTGTCGTTCATGGTACTCTATGGCTTTCTGGAAATCTCCAAGACTGTCATAGGCGACGCCAAGATTACAGTACGCTCTTCCTTCTCCTGCCCTGTCTCCCACTTCTTTTGAAATTTTGAGGTATCGTTCATGGTACTCTATGGCTTTCTCGAAACCTCTAAGACTGTAATTATAATTGTGATTGTAATTGTACGCTTTTCGTACTCCTGCCGTGTTTCCCACTTCTTTGGAAATTTTGAGGTGTCGTTCATGGTACTCTATGGCTTTCTGGAAATCTCCAAGACTGAAATAGGCGATGCCAAGATTACCGTACGCTCTTCCTTCTTCTGCCCTGTCTCCCACTTCTTTGGAAATTTTGAGGTGTCGTTCATGGTACTCTATGGCTTTCCTGAAATCTCCAAGTGTACAATAGTCGTTGCCAAGATTACAGTACGCTTTTCCTTCTACTGCCCCATTTCCCACTTCTTTGGAAATTTTGAGGGTTCGTTCATGGTACTCTATGGCTTTCTGGAAATCTCGAAGACTGTAATAGGCGGTGCCAAGATTACCGTACGCTTTTCCTTCTCCTGCCCTGTCTCCCATTTCTATGGAAATTTTGAGGGTTC